CGCAGAGCAGAAAGCTTTCCATACCTGGGATATGAATTGAGGTCCTCTATCCGAGAGGATCTCCTGGGGGATACCATGAAGCCGGAAAACATGTTTGATGAGGAGTTGAGCGGTCTGGAAGGCTGTGGGAAGCTTTCTGAGGGGAACAAGGTGGCAGGACTTCGAAAAACGGTCAACTATAGTGAGTATAGTGGACATACCTCGGGAGACTGGGAGGCCGGTGACAAAATCGATGGCAATATGGGACCATGGGCGCGAGGGAACAGGAAGTGGTTGAAGCAGGCCTGAAGGAGGTTGGTGTGAGGCTTTGTTGCGGGCACATGTGGGACAAGCCAGCACATACTCCTTTACGTCCCTGTGGAGTGAGGGCCACCAGAAGCGCCTGGAGATGAGAGCAACTGTTCTACTCACTCCTGGATGAGCGGTGAATTTGGCGGCATGCATCCACTGGATCAGACGGGACCTGACAGATGAAGGAACATAGGATCGGTTAGGCGGACCGGTACCTGGATCTGGTTCAGTGGCAAGGGCGGAGTTGATAAGATCCGTTATTTCCCAATTTCACACCAATGGTACATGAAGGTGGAAGGACAGGTTCAGGTGTCTCTGGATGATCGACGGAGTAGAGACGAGAGAGAGAATCGGGCTTCACGTTCTTGGATCCGGGCCTGTAGGAGATGATTAAGTTGAATCGAGAGAAGAAGATTGACCACCTGGACTGGCGAGGATTAGCCTGCTTTGTTGACTGGATGTAAGCCAGGTTCTTATGGTCTGTCCAGACGAGAACCGGATGCTCAGCTCCCTCCAGCCAATGCCTCCATTCTTCCAATGCCAGCTTTATAGCCAGGAGTTCTCGGTCACCCACGTCATAGTTCTGTTCGGCTGGAGAAAGCCTACGGGAGAAAAAGGCACACGGATGAATTCTTTGATCTGAGTCGAACCTTTGAGAGAGAACCGCTCCAACCCCGGAGTCTGAGGCATCCACCTCAAGGATGAACTGTTTCGTTGGATCTGGTTGGATGAGAATAGGTGCTCTGGAAAACAAGGATTTTAGTCTTTCAAAAGCTGTTTGAGCCTCGGGGGTCCACTGAAAAGATCGCTTGGTGGAAGTTAGTGAGGTTAATGGAAGGGCGGTTTGACTATAATTCCTTATGAACCGGCGATAGAAGTTGGCGAATCCTAAAAACCTCTGAAGCTGTTTTCGGTTCTCAGGAACTGGCCAGTCCAAAACTGCCTTTATTTTGTCCTCTGATGGTTTTACCTGGCCGCCCTCGAGCACAAAC